CAGGAGTGATTACATTTAAAGATAACGCTTAATGTTCAACAAATCCTTTTATTGAAATGCAAATTAAAACTAAATTAGTTAATTTTGTTAATCTTAGCTTTTTTTCTTTAAAATCATTAAAAGACGATCTACTTCCTTCAATATAAAATTTCGTATAGATTAATTAGTATGGCGTAAACACTCAAACATCAAAGTTGTCATCAAACATCTCGATGAGCATGAAACATTTCGTTACTCGCCGATATACAGTATATATTTCCGTATTAATTAAAATATTAGATTTAAAATAAACGGATAATCTTTTTCATAGATAAACTATATAAGTAAGTAAATCAAGACTTTACTTTTACTACTTTTGGGTTTGGCGCATTTACGCAGAATAAAATACTACGAAAACAATAACAGATCTACATAATTGCGTCACATAAGTACTTACGTACGTATGCACACAATGGGCTAATTAAAAAATTATGGATTTCTCAACCCTTTGCATAAATAAATAAATATGTTTCTCTCAAAAAATTCTGTCCTTTTATCGCTTGCGATTTTTCAAAAAAATTATTTCACTTAAGCAATATGTCCAGCAGCGGGAGTAGCGGGTCATCAAATAAAGAGTCAACACCAATATCCATTCCAGCAAACACAACTCGCCGGAGACGGGATTCAGGCAACATTACTGGTTTAGGACAATCCCTCGCCGAAACTTGGCAATCATGGACTGGAAATTATAGCCTTACCGCTAGGTAGAGGAATAACTAATCCTCGCCGTTCTGCAAATTAACAACATAACTTGCTCACCGATACCATAAAAATGAATTTTTTCCATAGCACGTACATGTCCGCAAATATGGTGGTGCCAACATCTTTTGTTGGTGAAAATCTTGAGCAAAGTCCTGCGGGCTCGCAATATTCATCCATATTGTCTAATCAATATTATTCTCCACAAACGTACCAATCTGATTCACATCTTCCTGGTTCTCACTATGGATCGAGTTTGATGGCGATCAGCGAAAGTTTATATGAAGGCGATTATCTAGGAACATCATATGCAAGCAATATAATAAGGAATCCAGCCATTAATACTGGTAAAAGAGGA